CCTGGGTTTCTGGATTGATCAGCTTTGTAGATGGTCCCTTTGCTGAGTTACTTCTGCTAACTCAGGAGAAAGGAACTGGTTTGGAGAATGGGGTTAAGGAGAAGATAATGAGTTTAATTTTCGTCATGTTGAGTTTGAGTTGGAATATCCAGGTGCAGAGTTCTTTGTTAAGCCCTTGGCTAGAACCTGGCACAATCAACAGAGAAGTCTGGGCTGGAAGTTCAGATTTGGGAGTCATGAGTATGTAGATGAAGTCCCTTTAGGAGAACAAGCAGACCCTGAGGAGCTAAGTGCCCAGGGAAACCAGACCAACAGTGCTAAGTAAAGGGGCAAAGAGCGTCACAGATGTGGGTTCTAGGAATATATGCTCTTTCCTTCCCAGGCACACGTCTTTGCCCCTGAGAGGGTTGTTAAATGATGTCTGTGCATCTCCTACTGAAAATAAAGGGAAGGAGCATTAAGTACCCAATCCCAACTTCTCCATTTTACCATAAATGATATCTTAAAAAAGTGGGGGGAACTGATACTGTCCCTCCTTTTTGCCAGGAGTTTTACATTCATGAATTCACTGAAATGCTCACAATAATCTTATGTAAGAGCTCTTGTCTCATATTAATTTGAAATAAAAAAGAGCTCTTGTTGCTCCTGAGCCTTTGAGATTCAGAATGGTTAAGTCATTTGCCCAAGTCACATAGCTACTAAACTATTAAATGGTATTATGAGATTTGACTCCAGGTCCACAGAACGGCACTGAACCTCCTCCAGGAATAGCTGGAAATTTAGGAAGACTCGTGCCCAAGCTTCTCCCTTCCCTTGTTTCATAAATGTTATTCGCATCCCTTAGCTTAATGCCTTGCTCGCCATTAAACTACAAATCCCCCTGGGAAAAGTAAAGCTCTAAGTTGTTGTCAGTCATTTATGCCTCAGTGGGAATGAGTTTCAGATTCTTCCTTAGGAATGAATTTTAATTTTATGGGAGAAGAACACTTGAACCTTAAGGGAAGGATCAAAAGGCATAAAGGGGTTGAGTCATGAAAATTCAGCCTCCTCCATCAGTTTCACAGGCCTACCTAGTCTGAGGAATATGCTTTTAAGGTTCTTAGATGCGATTTTTAAATGCATCTATTGCTTCATAGACAGGCCTATTTCTGGGACTGTTAGCCCAGTTATCTGGGTCTGATCAAAGGTGCCTTTAAACTGCACACTGGCCCCAACCCACTGTGGTCAGAGGAGTTGTGGACCTGCAGTTCCTGGCCTTAGGCACATGTCGCAACTCATTCCCTTGAGAATTAGACCCTGATGTGCATATTTAAAATCCTGGGCAGATGGAGGCAGGAGAGCTGTTAGAAATACTTGGAGGAGTTCCTTCTGCCCTGTCTGGGCCTATTTGCCAAAATAAATGACATGTATCAGGGCAAGGCATTGGTCCAAGCCCATTGAAATTCTGCTAGCAGTCCAAACAGCGATGGTGTTTCAGACTGGTTCTGTGAAATGATCAGGGTTAGGAAAAGAGAAATGATGTGTGAGCATCTGGCCGCTGCAGCCTACTGATGGGGACAGTCCCAAGGGCGGGACCAGGATGGTAGGGGGGCAGCCTCAAGGACCCCTTAGGACATCTGCCACTGGCAAACAGGGAAAGAGCCGTGCACTAGCAGCAAGCAGGCAGTCTGCTTTGAATCCCATGCCTGGCCTTCCTACTAGCTGTGTGACCTAAACAGGTCCTTCCTCTTCTCTTGGCCTTTTCTCTCTATGTTTAAAACAAAGCCTGGATCGAATGGTCTCTAAGGGCCCTTCCTGCTGGAACATTCTGTGACTTCTCTGACACTGGTGTGATTTCTTTTTCTCTGTAGTGGGAGAGGTCCACCCACCCACCTGCTTGGCTGTAGCCTTTGTGTTGTCACACTGACCTCTGCTGGCCATTATGAAAAGTGTCAGTGAAAGCGTCCGGGTGGGAAGAGCAGTTCCTTGCTGATTTAGTATAAAGCTTCAGCAGTACAGTACATACTAAGACAGAAAGCCCATGCATTGGATCCAGACAAGGAAAAGAGATCATGCAGCCATAAGCACAGAGCAGGCATATCTAAATATGGCTGACAAAATGATCCACAAACAAACTAGGTCTCCATTTTTTTCTGTCACTATATGAAAGGACCTCAGCAGGTAGGAAGGCTCCTAGCTTTGCATCCTATGAGTGCGAGCTGCAGAAGAGCCTGGTAGCACACTGAGGAGGCAGGTTGGGACCAGCAGTGCTTCAGGAGCCTCAAAGCTTCCCACAGGCCCTGCTTCCCACCCTAAGTCACTCTGACAGGTTTTGGCCTGGCCTGCTGATATGCCCAAGCACCCGAGGCCACCCTAGAAGCCCACCTTCCTCTGGGGGGGGGGCCTTTTCAGATTCCCCTTTGGAAAAAAGACTTGGAATTTTGTTTTAATCCATAAGTTTTTTTGTGTGTTTTTTTTTTTTTTTTTGCAGTTTTTTGGCCAGGGCTGGATTTAAACCCGCCACCTCCAGCATATGGGGCCGGCACCCTACTCCTTTGAGCCACAGGTACCGCCCCTTAACCCATGAGTTCTTAAAGAGACTCACTTTCAGTTCTCTTCCCGGAACAGAGGGATGAGCAAATTCAGCATGCCCACCCAGCCAAGAGAAAGGAAGCGGGCTGAGTTCCTGTTAAGTCCAGCCCTAGACTAGCCTCCCTCCTAAGTCTCCTTTCTTCCCCCTGTTGATGAGCACGTGCTCATCAAGACAAGTGACCGGAGGCAGAGTGTGCCAGCCCATGTGCCCGCTACATGTTGCTCGGGCTCCTCTCTCTGGTGGCGTGAGCAGGGTGAGAATTGGGCCACATCACAACCACTCTCTGTAACTGCTGAATAGTTTGTCATGCACTTCTCTTTCCCTCCCTTGTCGTGGGAAAACTTTTGGCAGGGCTCAGATTTGGGTCAAGCATTCAGTGCCCTGACTGGATCCTCTCTGCTAGTAATAACATGGCCCCAGCAAGCCCATCCTGCCTCCCCATCTTCCCACCAAGAAACCCCCTCCTCCCCAACAGCTGGTTCTTATCTGCCTCCCTTGTTCCAGCCTCAGGCAGGCTGTGCTGGCCTCATGCTGACACACACATGTTCTCCTGAATGCTGCTTGATGACTTTCAGCCCTGAAACACTGCTTTCTTCTTAGCCCTCCCTTGTTCCCAAGCCTCTGAGGGTTCCCTGGATCTTTCCACATCAAGTCATCAACTTCCCTGCCATGCCTTCTAGGCCCAGTGTGGCTCATGAGTCCCCCAAGCCATGGGCAAAATGTGAGCATTCCACAAACCCTTCATGGCCAACCCTTCCTTCGTGTTCCCGCAGCACTTAGGCTCTGTTCCAAACTTTGTTTGCTAGTACATTTGACCTTCTTCACTCATCCTCAACAACACCCTAGCCATTTTTCTGTTTTGCTCTTTTGTTTTTACTTTCTTCATGCATCTACATATGTACACACACATACACATAGATACACGCATATATATTGATTTTTGTGAAAATTACAAGAATAATAAGCAACAGAATCATTGTAAACAAGATTGCAACATGGGCAGTAGCAGCCCCCAAAATGAAAGGGACGCCACCTCCATCATTTCCAGAAGGAAGTTCATTAAACAGTTTGCCACCTGTCATTCTTTGTAGGCTGCATGTTGGATGCTGAGAAAGGTTGAGTGGTAGGTGGTGCCCCAGAAAATTGCATCTCCCTGGGAAGAGTGTCTTTTACTACTTTGCTAGAACCCTAGGTCTTCATAGGCCTGATTGACACTGGAAATTATACTCCAAAGGACCAGCACAGCTTGTGGCCACTTTGCATCTCCAGTACCTGACTCTGACCACTGCATAAAGCATCTGTCCTGTTTTCAGCCTTTTAAAAAGTAAACGGTAAAGGTAAACAGTAAAAGTCATGCTTAATGGGCTTTTTTCTGAGAAGTTTTTTACAGAATTTGTAGGAAATTGTGGACAGTCAGTAAAGGGGCTGAGAGGTAGAGATGAGAAGCATTTATGGAAATGGGCTTTCTACCTGATATATAGTGGTGTGTTCTTTGGTAATGCACATTACTAATGGTTTTCATTTTTCTGCCAAGGAAATTCAGTCCCTACTGGGATTTGTTCTAAATGATAGACCAGCCTGCCTGTGTCGCACCCACTGGGGTTAATTCTCAGTCTCGGTCCGCTTTAAAATGTCAGCCTGAACTCTCAGACTTAATTGTTACAGACATTTTATAACCAGGGCATTCAAAATCCTTAGGCTGTTCCCTCTTTCTATCATAATTGATACTTAATGGAGATTCTCTGGCTCCTTGTCTTTTACACACTGAACACTTTACAGATCGGAGGGAGGCGGACAGAGGGATGAGGAGGAAGAACAAATAAAGCATTCGTGTGTACGTGTGTGTGCATGCCTGTGTGCACACGCACACACTTGTGTGTGTGTTTTCCTTATGTCTGTTGCCCGGTACTGTGATGGGGTCTGAGCCTCCTGACAGGTTGTTCAGCTCATGGGTTTCTGGGTTCTCCTCTCTCTGGCCCCTGAGGCAGTATTCTTTAGGTACACCCATTTCTGGACTCACACAAGCATGTGGATGGCCATTTGGATGTGAATTACAAAATGTCATGATGCTCTCCAGCGTTCTGTTCTTTCACTGTTTTGACAATCTGATGGATGGCCTGGCATTAACTAGGAAGAGGACAATATTATCCAGCCTGAATAACTAATCTCCTAAGAAGTACAAAGTTGAAGGATCTTGGTGCACATGAATCTTATTAAATGTGCTTATAAAATGTGTTCTATCCAAATAAGCTTAGCGGGCCCTAAAATAGCCTTTTCTGATCCATGTCTGGAACTTTGGCTTGCCTCACAGCTCTCTAAGCCAAAATTATTTAGTGAAGTGATGGCAGTGTTCTTTGTGCCTGGGGAAATGGGAAGCATTGATGTAAACTCTTCTGTTGACTAATTGTACTCCTTCTGTCCATCTTAGGGGCGACCCGGACCAATTGGAATTCAAGGTCCAATGGGTCCTCAAGGTTTCCCTGGCCCTCCTGGTCTATCGGGCTTGAAGGGAGAAAGAGGCTCCCCAGGCCCTGTGGGACACTATGGACCAAAAGGTGATAAGGTAAGAGCATCAAAGCTTGATTTCTCTTTGATGGCATGGGCCATAAGTATGAAGGTCAAAAGTTCTCCATATCGGTTCTGCTCATTTATGGAAATAATACTATTCATGAATACTTTGGTACCAGGCTACATTCTTTAGTAAAAGGTAGGATAGATGATGGACTGCTGATAGTTAAGCCCAGTTCTGGAGAGACTCCCATGGCAAGCAAAACATAAAGTGAATTTATTAGCTACTTGCTAGATAGCATGGTGATGAGAAGTCATGTAGGATTGAACAGGTCAGAAGCCTACTCAGCTGATGAGTAGATACCTGAAATCCAAGCAAGGAAACTGGGAAACAAGGGGTCAGAATTTTTGAATGAAATCTAGACCACAAATACAGGGAAAGAGCTGCAAGAAAGGATAAAGATAGCATGATGGCTGGCTGGCTGACTGAATTCAGCAGCTCAGTTAATGTTCCCTGCCTCTTTTAGTCACCTCCTATTCACCCCATTGGTGAGTGAGGGATTCCCACCTAGGCTTATGGGGATGACCAAAGATATGACACCCAACACTGAACAGATGAGAGAGACAAAAGTTTATTGGTCACATATACCCATGGCTCAGGGAAGAGGACACTGCACACCACATAAGGCCACACAGGGGTAGCACTTGGGAGCACAGTGAAGTAGAATAGGCTGTGGGAGGCAGGCTTTGTGGTATCCCTGGTCCCTGAAGGAGGGTGTTTGTGGCTTGCGTGAATAATTGAGTAGGCCAGCAAGGAGCTGAAATTGCTATTCAGGGAGAAGCAGAAACTGCACCTGGTCCATTTGATGATAAAGGAGGGTTGCTTGGCTCGGAGACCTTACTGAAGAAGCTAATGGGGAGGGGAACTTGTGATTTAGGCTATTTGAGGCCCTCTGGTTTTCCTCAAATGTCAAAACAGCGTATAATATTAAGCCTTAGTTTTTAGGACTTAAACTATACTACCTGAGGCAAGATATATCCAAGACCTTACATAGAAGCAAGTGATCCCTTGGAACTGGAGTAAGGATCAAAGCAACCCAATGTGGGGAGGGAGGTACAAATGCTTCTTAACAGCTTATACCCTTGACTCACATAAACGAACCTACTCAGTCTAAGGGATGTCAGTTGGACTGTCTCTTACATTCTTCTCCCTACTCTTTTCCTTTAGGGCCGCATGGGCGTTCCTGGCTTTCTTGGCATCAATGGGATTCCGGTAAGTGTGTCCACACAGCATTTTCAGTATCTTCCTCTAGGTTCTGTCTCATAACTCAGGCACTCTGGCCTTAGAAACATCCTGTCTCATGCAAGCATTTTTTTTTTTTTTGAGACAGAGCCTCAAGCTATCCCCCTGGGTTGAGTGCGGTGGCATCACAGCTCACAGCAACCTCCAACTCTTGAGCTCAAGCAAGTCTCCTGTCTCAGCCTCCCAAGTAGCTGGGACCACAGGCACCCACCACAATGCCCGGCTATTTTTTTTTTTTTTTGGTTGCAGCCATCATTGTTGTTTTGGTGGGCCCGGGCTAGATTCAAACCCACCACCTTAGGTGTATGTGGCTAGCACCTTAGCCACTTGAGCCACAGGTGCCAAGCCATGCAAGCATATTTAAAGTCAAGTGTTGAGATATGTGTGGCGAGGTTTGAAGGGCAGTGGTCACATACACTTACCCTTGGACTCAGATATAGGCAGCCCTCAGATGATTGAGGGGCAAAGGGACACATGCAGCCATAAGAAACCAGCAATATCTTTTTTTTTTTTTTTTTTTTTTGCTGTTTTTGGCTGGAGCTGGGTTTGAACCTGCCACCTCCGGCATATGAGACTGGCACCCTACCCTTTTGAGCCACAGATGCCGCCCCAAGAAACCAGCAATATCTTAATCAAAATGAGTTAGGTCCTGTAGGGAGTTTTGATTAGAAGTGAGGAACTGGTTCTAAGGCATAGAAACAGAGGCACAATAGATTATATAAATACTCATTTATAGGAAAATTACAAAGGTACGTGAAATTAGATTGAAAACTCCTTAGTGATATCTTGATAAATTTCATTCCAGTAATTTGTTCTCTGCAGGGTGAATTTTCCTTTAGCTCTTACAAAGTAACTACTCAAAGACCACTTGGAGGCAGCCTCTTCCATTCATCCTGTGGACCTTTGCTTTGCCAGAGATAAGTAGGGGATTAGGACCTCGTGTACATCTTTTCCCCATTCCATCCAGCCCAATCCCTTAGTTTCTCCATTTTTCTCCCATATTCTGACTTACCCCACCACTGGAGAGTTCATTGTAACATTTAATGAGCCTTTAAAATCCAGTATTGTGGCTTGTTTCAATAATTCAGTAGGCCTGCAAGGAACTGAAATTGCTATTCAGGGATAAACAGAAACGGCACCTGATTCACATGATAAGGAGGCTCCACTTCCTGGCCATCACCACCTTGTTTTCTCCTTTGCTGCTTCTCTAAGAACTGCTCAATGCTTAACCTGGGTTATGCTTGTCTACAGCAGTAGCTTTCAGGCTGGTTTAGGAGAAGGACAGAATCTTGTGTGAAGCTCAGTATGTAGAACAGAAAAAAGTGCAACTCCTCCATTTGAGGGAGGTCCTAGAACCTGCTTTTATCCTTCTAACAATCACTAAAAGGTTCTTCTGAACCTTATCAAATATTAGTTGGGGAAGCCTTAGACTTAACAGCTTTTTGTGTTATACTACTACATAATCATCTACTATCAGGGAAGGGAGTTCAACTCTCTTGCTGCCAATCTATAAGTATTTCTTGAGCGCCTGCTATGTGCTAGCACTATACTATGGGGATATAGAGGGTGCATATAGCTCTGCCCTCAAGGGTGTTATCATCGGATCGATTTTCTCCCTAGATTTAGTAGACATTTATGGATTTGGAGAATAGAAGTTTCACTTACCCTGTATTTGTCACATGTGTCAACAAGTTGGCCATTAGATTTCTGCATTTTATCTAATTGCAGAGTTAGCAAAATGCCCAGAAATAGGACAGTGGGAAAATAAGTGGATGGGGTTGGCCATGCCATTATGACATCCCTTGACATTTTGTTATGGCTATGTTCCTATGACCACGTTAGCCAGGGTCTTCACCCAGAGTGTGTATCTTCTGGGAGCCAGTGGATGAGGAAAACCAGCAAACTGGAGGCAGCTTCTTCCATTCATGTCAACCTAGCTTCACCAGAGCCGAGCAGAAGATGCGGAACATGCAGGGTTACTATGCCCTTCCATTTGCAGCCTCATTTTAATGAGAGCTGGAAGAAAGTGAATTCTGCAAGGCTGAGACCATTCCCAATTCTGAGCTGGAACCTGCCCCAGAATCCAGCTGGACACTTTTGCCTCTAACTTGTGGCCAAGAGAGCCCTAGAGATTGCAGGAATCACTCTCTTTGGGACTTCATTGCTCAGGAGAATGAGTTGCAGCTGTCAAGACTCCTCCACAGGAACTTGCTGTTCCCAGTAGAATTCCTCTCTCCATTGGGCCTTTCCTTAACCAAATGTTGTACATCTTTTCTTTTGATGTTTCATTGCTCTAGCCTGATGCAGGGAGTAAGCCTTATTACTCCTTGAAATCCCTGGCCCCTGTTATTTCTGTCTCTTCTAGCCATTCAAGGATTTATTGAGCATCTTCTGTTCCTTGCTTACCTCTTCCTTCCATCTCTGATCTCCCAGGAGTCGTTGTGGCCTTTCCCACATACTCCAGCTCCTTATCACTTACAGCTCCCGGGTATTTATTGATCATCTTGTATGATAGTATCGTCCAGCTCCTTAAAAGCACAGAGGCCCAGGGCTGAATTCAGTGTATAGTAGGAACTCTAAAAATATTTAGGAGACCAACTCCAACCTCTAGTGCCTATAAAAATAACAGTTCTCAGACTGGCAGGACTCCCTTAGACAGAGAAAAACACAGACACCATAGGCCCAGTCAGACTAATTATTTTGTTCAACTTTCACTAACACATATTAAACAATTTGGCTAAAACCAACAGCTTTCCCAACACATCATACTAAACTGGATCACTGCGCAGGTCTGGTTCCCCTTTTAACATTGGCTGATTATTCACATATGCGTTGGTGGTTTGGGTCCCAAAACTCCACTTTTGCTGTCATGTAGACAATTTCAACATGAGTGGGTAGTCATTTCACGATAATCCAAGTCTTTGCACTAGGGCACAGCAATGAATTGCGACAATGAGCCAACAAGCATTCATTAAGATATTCAACATTAAAATAATGAAGACTAGGACAGTATCCCAGCTGTGACTTAGGGTTGTTGGCACCCACAAGAAATATATGTTTATCAAATATTTTCAGTCCAAAGAAGTTGGGAACAGAGGTTTTCAAATTGTCCTTTGCAATTTATGTTCAGCTTTTCCCATGGAGTCAATCTCAAATATTTCCCTGCCTAGAGACTTGTAAATGAGCGCACTAGATTTATATCCTTAAAGTGAACACATACCACTCACCAAATGGAAACTTTGCCTTTGAAACTGGGTTCTGGGGAACATGGCTTGTCTGAAATATAGCAGATCCTCGCATTCTGTGTGTTCAGTCCCTTGTGGCTATATAGAACCATGGTCCCCACACACACACCAAAGAGCTACACTCTTTACTCTTTGGAGACCTGGCAGACATGTATGTAAAATTATTAGCTATAAACCAGAAAGGGCAATGTGCTACCAGAAATTCTGTGGTACTGAGGATTAAAAGAAGGTAGAGCTCAGCCTTGTGGCTTTTCCTTGCTGACTTGGTTGGAAGAAGACTTAACATTTATTGAGTGGGAACTTAGTAAACCTAATCTCACTTAATTTTACCCATAACCCAGTGGGGTAAGCCTGATTCATTTTTAATATTGACAACAACACCATAAAGTAGGTATTATTCATTTCCATTTTACAGCTGAGGCCAAAGTGAAGAGTGGCAAAGCTGGGTTTGGAGTACAAGTCTAACAGGCTCAAAACATGCTCTATCTACCATCAGATGGTGTCAGCTAGATAGAAAAGGGCTGACATGGTTTACTCAAAGATCAGAGATTAATTCCAGAGAATTCAGCTAAGGTAAGAAAGAATAAACAGTTATCCCTGGAATCCTATAGATAGGAGGTATCAGGAGTTCAGGCAAGAAAACTAGAGAAGGGGCTCGGCGCCTGTGGCTCAAGCAGCTAAGGCGCCAGCCACATACACCTAAGGTGGCGGGTTCGAATCCCCAGCCTGGGCCCGCTAAACAACAATGATGGCTGCAACAACAAAAAAAAA